TAAGSAATGAAAGAATTTGGAAACAACTCACAACATATATTTCTACACGAACGTTGACCGAGTTGTGCGTTATCTGTATGTTGTCTCAGATGATTATGTACTAGTCGGACGGCGACTGACGTCAACGGTGTGCGATAACGATATGTATAGGTACATTTTTGTACAGTAGAAAATAGGAATATGGAGCTATACCTACGTGTAACTTTACATTATTAAACGTGAAATAAAATAGGGATTCATAATTTGCCCGAACGATTATAGAAGGTCTTGAGAAATCTAAGCGAACACAGTTATAAACCGTATAAATCACCATTGATCCGTGTCCTGAGTCCAATAATGTTATAAATTTTATAAATTGTATTGTTATTTAAATATGTTTGAAATCTTAGCATTTCTCCAACCTTTAAGAATAAGATGATACTAATAGGATCCATAAATGGTTCGATATATATAATATAATTTATTGTTTTACCCATGAGTTTGATAATAGCAAGACAATAATATTATATAATATTATTTATAGTTTAGAACTCTGAACAAGTTCAAGAATTTAATCCTCACTTCCCTGGCATGACCCATGTCGAAAAGATAAACTAAAATCCTAACTTCGACAACTATATGGACTATCGAGTAGTTTGATCTCGTCTGAACGTAAAGYGCACGCGTTTATTATTTGTCCGCCATGATTATCGATTATACAATTTATGACCATGGTTTTTGCATTTTTTTTTAACTCAGCACGCGTGATTGGCAAATGGCAATATTAGTGGAGTTACGAGTATGTATTCAAGTCGTGACTGCGTGTGCCGGATAAAATCCAAATGCAAATACATAAAGATATAAGTATATAGAAGTAGTAATGCTGCATAATGAAATAAGGTATTTAGMTTTTGCATAATAGAATACTAGAATCGGTTCATTGAGTATAAAAAGAAAAACAATCTTTCACTACACTATTGCTGAAGAGTGTATGAAGGGGGTACCGAAAGGGGTCACACGCATTCACCCTCTATATCATCGGCAGGGAAGTTATTTGGTGCACATGCGCGGCGGGTGCACTCGAGCATTGCGATTATCACGCGGGAGGAGTYGGGAAGGGGCACCGTATTAGCATTTCCAATCGATGTCTACATTCCGACCTTCAGACTTAAAAAGGTCACACACGCACACAAACAATACTCTCCATAGCACTGAATCGGGTTATGGTGAAGGGAGTTAGAAGGGGCAACGAGTTCGTTTAGGTATTGTGTTTAATATCAGCTTTTTTCGCCATCTTTTCTTTCTCTATATACGTGTGCTGCTGTCGTTTTACTCGTTCTTTCCTTTCTCGGGCATCTTTTTATTTCCATTATCGAAACTAGTTTGCACGAACGTAGAAAAAAAGCGTAACTAACGATGAGAAAAACAAAGTGGACGGCGAGGTGAGGGAGTATGCATACAACCGAATGTAGAGGAGGGTTGACCGCAACTCGCGAATAGCGCGTGTTGCGCGTTTAGAGAAAACGATGGTGACTATATACATCACTTGCACGCCGCCCGCCCGCGCTAACCGGTAACCACGTATCACGAAAACGCGACCGTGCGTAATATCTAATTACTATTACTGAATGAAATTTATGCGTTTTCGATAGCRAGACTGCCATAGAGATCGCACCTACCGGAGTAAGAAAAATACGTGTTACGTAATGAAATGCGACCGGCGCCACCGCCGTCGAAATAAATGAGTTGAAAAAAAATAAAACGCACCTAAACTACATTAATTATTTGCTCTTTGAACTGGATAATATWTTTTTTTTTCTTATAATAAAACGCTTGCCGAAGAATGGATTTTATTTATCGCCCATCGGCAACGATTTAGCCGTGCCGCAAACCTGGTCGACACATATTACTATCATTATCATTATTATTCATTTGTCATTATTCATTACTAACCACAGTGCAAACTGCACATGCCAATATACCATGTACAGATAAACATGTATATTGTATGTGCATTRAACATGTGTACTTATTTTTCTTTAGAAATCAAAAATAATGAAATGCGAAATGCAAAAACAATTACGGGGAACGATTTTTAAAAATGATAATCGGTTAAAACGACACATCTATTAAGATAAATTGTGATATAAACATTTTTTTATTAAATGCTCGGTTATATGGCTTGAACGAGTTAGTGGAAACGGTCCTGTGATTGCTTAATAGGAATTCTTGACGAAAATGAACACTACGCACAAGATAAAAAAATAACATGCAATATAATTCTCGGCACCAAGAATTCTACGAAATGAGAAAGTACATCATATTATATTTGGATTTTATCATGTTGATGATAGACGTACAAAAAAGTCTGGGCCATTATAATATTAAATGAAGACTTATCAAATAAATCAAGAAWTTACATTTTTACAATCTTACTCCAATGTTTCCGACGACACTCATAAATAATAATACAACAATATTGAACTAATTAGAAATATTTTGAAATCAAGCATTCGGTTATAACACTTCCAATAAAATTGTATGGCATGTACTATGTAATATGTATTAATTAGCTTTGGACAATGAACACGATTGAAATTGAATAATGTAACAAAGACCGTTGCATATAGTTAAAAATGTCATTTGAATGGGTTTAACATACAAATTCGTAGATAAATTGATAAATATCATATTAGTAGGTACATTTATAATTCAATTACGACTTAATACTATATATCATTAAAACATTAAAACATTCTCCGAATTCATCAGAGTTCTCGGACCAAATTAAATTATTAATTGAAATAAATTTGCACGCATTTGTACACAACTATACATTTGGATAATTTGAAATTCAAGTGATGTAATTTGTAATTGTCGTGAGATATGTCCCTACAAAGTACAAACGGTATCCAATCAATAATTATTTAAAAACTTAAAATAATTATTATRAACAGATTAGTTTTTAACACGTATGCACTTATAATACACTTTTTACCACTTTACGCATTCAGGGAACACAGGTATTAATAATTTAGTGTAATAGTATTTATTATTGAATTTGTTTAACAAATTTACATAAAAAAATATTACAAACTCAAGTCTTCGAAATAATAATTTTACCAGTGTATTAAAATTAGAGYATTAAAAATATATAATATATTAATACCGATAAAATATAAGAAAAATCAGTAATATAGTTTCATGTATATAAGTTATTATAAGTGTTTAAAATTTTCGTTCTTTTTTCGAACAACTGCGAGCAAGTAAACGTCACGATACTTTWATATCAATTATACGCTTTTGAAAAATTTAATAAAATACCGATATCAATATGATATTGTAACCAAATAAGTATGTTGACCTATGTTGTAGTGGGTTAATGAATAAAAMAAAATAATATTTTAATAATAATTATAATATTATATAATAATATAATAATTTAAATTAATATTAAAAAATAAAATAATAAATAAATAATTATATAATATTAAGTAATAATAATAATAATAGTCATTAATTAAAAAAATAACAATAATTGAAAATTAATAATTTAATTTTAATATTTCAAAGAATATAAAATTATAATTACAATATTATATAGTAGAAAGAGTATACAATATGTTCTATCTAGACAACGATAATTTTAAATTCGTTTCTATATAATTCGAAATTCAGGAATAAAAAAAAACGTGCAGTACATTTACACTAATAGTGTTCGATATTTGAACATGTGATACCAGATGTTTGTGATGCTTGGACCCCAGACACGCACATTTCAACAACAACAAGGGACTGAAGGGACGCATTATGTTCGTTCTCGGAGATCGTAGGAAAACTACTAAAAACGTGTTAACCGTTAACAAATTTCGTTTATACTTCGACGGACGTATGCGCCACCGAGTCAACGTCGTTTGGCAATAGTCGTTGAGTATCAGTCGTGGGTGTGTGAGAGGGGAGGTCGTACAAGAAGACTTCACATGTGAAGTGTTGACTGTGAACAATATATTACGCAAAACCAACCGGTGGAACATGTCGGGAAAATCTGTCCCGGCGCACGGCAGTGGCCTTAAAACGAAGTTCAAAAATTATTTAAATACTACATAGGTAGGTGATACGTGCATAATTATATTACACTTTATAATTCAATTTCGTTAAAAAGGTAGTTGGAGATAAAACGGCGTCGAATATACACACGCGCGCGCGTYGGTTTGTCGTGTGGTCGTCGGCGGACAAGGAATTCCAACGAGCGCGTAGTATAATATTATTACACTCACACACAAAAACTAAGACTAACATTTTTACACATACAAACTCGCGCACGCCAAGCCAAACTCGTGCCACGCAATATGGCCGCCTCCACAAGCTCCGGGTTTTTCCACACCTCTTGAACTAGAACCAGTCCGGAACAATGTCACTCATTACAACTCGCCTCGTAGAACGGGGGCCGCCGCCGCGTTCCTCTCGTGGACTCCCAAGGTCGTAGCAAGATTACATGCCCATTGCACTCGTACCACCACCGCCTCGCGACACCCACTGCGCGCACCGTCGTCATGATAAAATTTAATAATAATAATAAAAAACCCGTATCGTCTTGGTTGCATTCCAGAAGTTATTATTACATACAGAATTTACCGCGGCGGCGGCGACGAGTGGTTCGTTTTTAAAACCGCCGCGCTAATGGTACTCCTACTCCACTACAACGTCATCCACCTACTATTCGTATTATAGTCTCACCGCCTTCTACTACGCCGTCTTTCGCCAAACCCGGTTCCATGTAGAGACCATATTATTTTACTATACACGTTTAATATACRACGAGATCTCGGGATGGTACAGCCCGAGTGGTGGGAGTGATGAAGAGTGCGGTCGGTCGAAAATACTACTACTATATTACTACTACTACTACTACTACTACTACTACTACTGTTATTACTATTATTACGAAAACTACTACGACGACTTCCTTATCGATGAAAAATATAATGTGCAATAGTAATAATGTTTGAAATATCGCTTACCTGATGATTTCTTTGGTCACCGTAGCTAAGTGTGATCTTTATGTTGCCTTTGACCGCCGAATCCGCCACGGGTTCGATTCTCACTACCGTACTAGGATCGATCCTGTGCAGGTCGCTGTTTTCCACAGAGTTCAAAAAGTCTTCGGTCCTCATGTCTTCGACTTTTTTTATATTGCCGTTGGCCAACCGTATCAGCGAACCCTTGGTGAAGTTTGACGTTTTGGGCGTCGGCGGTGACAGCGGTTCGGGCGTGATACGCCGCAGTTTTTTCGGCGATGGTTCCGCGGCTGCGCCTATGTGGTTGTTGTTGTTGTTGTTGTTGTTGTTGTTGTTATTGTTGTTGATGTTGTTGTTGTGGTTGACGGCAGGAGCGGCGGCCACTGTAGTGACCGGTTGAGGAGGCGGTAGGATTCGCTGGTGTTGCAGCTGTAGGGGTGGTTTATTGTCCCTACCGTTTGGAACTTTGAACTGTTCGGGAGGCGACGACGATGGGCTAGTCCGACTCCCGACGCTAACACTGCCGTTCTTATTCGGTGGACTTGGGTATCTCCGTTCTTGCGGTGGCTGCATAAGATGGTGCCTAGTATCTCGCGGGATGACAGGTGCGTACGGGCTAGTGTACACACCGTATGGCGCCGGCGGCTGGTGCATGGGATGGTACGGGTGGTACGGCGTCGTACTGACATAGAGCCGAGGATGTCCGTACACTGGGTATGGATGATGCCGATCGTCCAACCTGATGTGGTGGTCAACTGACGGTGGCGGCAACGGTTCTTTAGGGGCCGTCAGGTTGACCGGACGGCAATCCACTGCGTACTTTGAGGACGCCCGAGGTGCCTTTAGAGGGTTCACGGGTGCCGGTTTCGGCAACGGCCGCAGGAACTCTGGCGTGGATGGCAGCTCGGAAGACTGTTGTTGTTGCTGCTGTTGCTGCGGTGAAGGAGGTGGCGGTCCCACCGATTTCATGTATGCCGACGGTTCTACATATGACATACGGTGGTGGTTATGAACAGCCTGGTGGTTATACGGCAAATGGGCCTGGAGTCCGTGGCTAACGCCGTCCACCACGAGACCGCTGGTGATCATTACACGTATTTTTGAGAAACACCTAAAATAAATCCAATCACACAGGTTAGAAATTAAAATCTAATAAATAATAATATAGTATATCATTATGACAATTATTGACATGACGATGMGATAATAGTAAAGTCACAGACTTCTGAATCTAACTTGAAAACAAGTTAATGTATAGTAAATAGTTTTGGACGGGAAACTTTTTAATCCACGTTATCGCTATATATTATTTAAAAATTATTTATTGATAAGACAGCAAAATAACGGAAACTGTTGAGAGCGATATCAAAAACAGAATTATTGTCACGGGACATGCATTGTGTGTACGTGTGTTTGCGAATGTTGTTGACTTGGGGCGTATCATTACATGCGCGACAAACCATTAAAAAAAAATAATAATGAACTATGAAAGAAGCCAACGAAAACGTAGTCAATTACTTGAGCACGAGTTGTGTGTACAAGTTTTTGTCTTTTTCTCATCGGTAATTTCTTATGGAAAATGAAAATGCCACGATATATCGAGGAACCACGAGAATAACGAGCAGGCTTTTCAAAACTAAACGTAAAATGGGTTCCGTTTACAAAATTAGAATGAGGCTAAATTAACAGCATAGACATCTAAAAATATTGAATTTAAAAAAAAATTCTAAAAATAAACTACTCGACTTAGATAAATYTTTTTACCATAAAAATTGCTCTTATAGTCAGATTCACAAATAGGCTATTTTGAATTTATCCAAAAAAATTTTATTAAATTAATTTTTTTTTCAGTACTAAAAAAAAACGGGAAAGTGGATATATCGCTCTGCTATACAGTAGGTTACAAGTGGGTTACTGTAATGGATGAAATTAAATTTGAACCTAATGATATTGTATCATTGTATAAGAAAAGCGATTCTGAGCGGAGACGGTTTATCTTTTTAGAATATATATTATAGATTATTAATACTTATTAAGATATTTGCCTTTCCGGTTAGGTGGACATTTTTTTTTTTTTTTTATAAAGGTAGACAAACTTATAAGGAATGTTGAATTAAATTTTCAAATCTTAGATTTAAAAAGAAAGTTTTTTATGAATTTCTATCTAAGATAATTTAAACATTGTCGTAATTTTCACGTATTTAGTAAAAATTTAAACTTTATAAATGCTTAAAAAAAATTTGTGCCTATGTATTTTTAATATTTTTCAACTGCTATTGTAACAATATGTTGGAAGCCTTGTATTAAATTKTGAAGCTTTTTGACCYAACCAATACAATTTTATTGACATAAGGACAATATTGACAATAGAAAAAAAACTAAAAAAGTTGAAAAATTAAATTTTCAGTGAAAATTTCAAGTACCTATCTGCGATAATTTGTTTTAGAGTTACMCCAAAATAAGAAAATAGCTAAATAAGAAATCTAGTRAAAATCTGATGTTGTAAAAATTTCAATTTCATAAGCTCATAAAAACCTAATTTGACCTTCCGGTGGATATTCATTTTATGATAATGGTTGACAAACTTGTAAGAAATCTTGTATTAAATTTTCAAATCTTAGATTTAAAAAGAATTTTTTGACCCCCCAAAGTACCAACTGTATTTACTTTTTGATCGAATGAGGTACTGAAGTCGTAATTCGAATCATTTTTACTGCCCTAAAACGTGATGGCAGACAAAAAAAAAAATTTAATAAAAAAATTTAAAAAACACACACATCATGGTAAAATCAATAAGAAGTAGAATTATTTGAAAGATGTGATAGTTGTCACTATTTTTAAAATATTATTTTACGTCTTAAACATAGGAATATGGACTTAAAAAACACAATGAATGATTTAATTACATTATTTATAAAATGTATAGAAAAATCCACAATGAATTTCTGTTAGTAATAGTAGTCGACAGAATTAGTGATCATCAGTAATGATAATAATTTAAGATTTAATAAAGTTTTTATATCGATTATGCAGTTGGTGTAAATTTTCCGTTGACTTGGTTGCACGCACGCGTGTGCAAGAAATAAGACAAAGAAAGCAATAAAYAATTGTTGGGAGATTGTTATGACGTCCTCTCGACACACACACAAGTATCAACTGATAAAATACAATTTCATTCAACGAGTTTGGCATAACATTATACTATATTATTATTATTATAATATATTTCATTATTAAGCGTATGTATGTACATAGTATATCTTATTATGTATATACCGGAGACATACTGTAGTGTAAAACACCACAACAATAAAAGACAAAAAGAGTCGTACTCGACACGTGCGTGCTAATAATTTTTATACACACAGTTTCTCGAACAATACGCCAACAGCAACTTTACTGTATGGCGTGCTTATCTTGTTTCAAACAAATCTTAAATAAACGGCAAAAAATTAATAAAAAAAAAAACCGTACACAACAAAACATCGTACACAATAGGCTCGAAAACAGGCTTGTTCAGCGGGATTGTGAACATAATAATATATTATATTCAATGTGTGGAGAAAAAACATACAATAAGAGCGAAGAGCCTTATCTGTAAAATTGTATTCTTGGAAATGAGTAGAGTATTTTGCAAATATCACAATAAATGCATCACGCACTTAAAATATTCGTACTACAACAATTATTAGTATTAATCGGGCCAATTTATCTACGATAAGAACAACACTGATAGATAATTGCCCTTTGTACGCGCGCAAACGATGTGTTTAATAYACACATTACACATTTACACCTCTAGTTACACATTCGCCACTCGCCCGCGAACGCACTTATTCGTCCGTTTACGGCGTCGCGTGACGGACTCATTAGTCACTATATCCAAATTATTAATATTAACGTTTCATCCACTGTTATCATCGAATAACGACTTATCGATMCGGATAACAAAAGGAATACGATAAGAGTASTGGAAKAAACACTTAAATTAGTCAAATCCCCCCGAAAAAAATKTTGAATAGCTCAGCATTCACAACCACCATTAGTTTCCTATTTACGTTGCTTCAATACAAGATCCTGCGGRCGAAATCGGATATGATATTGGCAACATCAACATTKTTTGCGCTAATTTCTTTCGTAGTATTCTGTTACGCGGATGATATTGTTATCATAATATAGACGATAACGTACGCTACACCAAGCACGTAGGTAAAGTGACTTATAACATTATGACTAATTAAAGATGCACTGGACTGTCGGCTGCAAGGTTAATGGTTTTAATATAATAGAGTATAATATTATTAATAATATACATAACACACTCGGGACGGAATACGTTTTAAAGTTGTATTATTTTTATACCTGATTAGTTTATTGCAGACAATTGGCGAACTAAATAAATAAACGTCAACGCACCAGTTGACGACGATAATAACATATTGCTATACATTTAAACAAATTAAAACAGAACACTGCGTGTGCATAGTGTATTGTGTTTGGAAACTGCATATAGTCCACGTGTCCGATTCTCGTATTAACTCTAAACAGAAAGACTGCTCCACTCCGCTCTTATCGCACTCGATTTGTTTAATTGAATATGTATTGTTAAACGGACGACCAACGAAATCATAATATATTATTATTTACATTCAGATCGAGCACTGAGCCGCGTTCGTCTGGTTTTTTTTTACATCACAGCGATTCGAGTACGCGTACTATAATAAACAATTGAGCAGAACCGTTGTTTACGTCATCGGAAAGAGCCGTATTAAATGTTGTGATACAGTATAGATACGTGCACRGCGACTGCGCGCACGAGAAATACAATCGGTTGATTTTATTTATCGTGATTGGCGAAACGGAAAACTTACACGAACGCCGTAAACGATACAAATTCGGCGTGCAAAACGGGACACCACCATCGCACTACGGCGGCGGCAGTGACGACGACGACCTTGAGGCGGAACGAAAAACAACCGCCGAAAACTCGGGCGCGCAACACCTCATCGCGAAATAGTTGTGCATAAGTGTCAATGAATAGCCGATTAGAGAGCTCGTTTCCACTAACGACACTCTACACACGCTCGCACGCACGCACGCACGCACTCTACACAATCACAACACACACTAACACTTACGGGCAGATAAATACTACGTTAGATGTTTACCGAACACCCGTAAGACACGCGAAAACCGATATCCGTTCGTTTTTAGGACGGCTGAAACACTAATTATTTTACGCTCCTAGCTTAATAATATCTCAGTGACCAGTCTTCAAAATTMACGCGGCAGGAAACCAGTCCCAAACGTCCAAGGCTAAGAGCTCGGGACGAGTTTAGCACCTGTACACTATTTTTATCCGTACGTACACCTGACTTTACGCCTAACCTGGCGTACGTACAGGTACGCTGGACTGGAGTCCTGGAAGTGGACAATGACAGATTGAAAGATTCGTAAACGACACGGCCGTGTCGGTTTGCGTGTTCAAACTTTCAAAGCATTCGACCACACACGGATCCGTGAAAGAGAAAAATAAAAACACACGAATACCGTGGTATACAAGAGATAAAATTAAATTTAAACGCAACAGCACTCGTGAGAAACACTATTTTTATAAAGCAACATTTAAAAATAATATCCGTTMATAACGCCACTACTTACCGGACAAGTTKTTATTAATAATATTAATAGTCGTGCAGCCACTGGTGCTGATAAGCATTTTCCGTCGAACACACACGCGTCACGACAATTACAACGCCGGTCAACGACTAACTCGCGCGACGGCGGTTACGACGTTACGTTAGTATGTTTTATATAGTATATATCCTCGCCGTCGGCAGAGGAGAGAAGGTCGCGCGCGTCGAGGAGCGAGCGAGAAAGACGCGGCAGACACATACACACAGACCTACACGCGAGTACACACACGGTCACTTGCATTGGATGGCGACGACTACCACTACCACCACCACCACCACTACTACTACTACTACTATTACTACTACTACACTACTACTACTACTACTATTATTATTACTACAACTACTACACTACTACAACAACGATATACTACTACGTTACATACTACGGCGCATGGCGACGGAGCACGCCACTCGCTCTACACGCAGCGCRCGCTCCCGGATTGAACAAAGTGTATTATTATACGCGCGCGCACACGTATGCACACACGCGCGCGCCCGCGCGCTGACACTGTACACCGCGACGCAGTGACAGCGCACGCAAATAACGATGAGAGAACAACGCGCACCACGATGAACGGCCGGTGGAGTGTGTATACACGCGTTTACGTATCGGCGTCAGTGGGTAGTCGTGGGTACTGGGTAGGGTAGGCTGTGGCCGGTGGTGTTGTTTTCCTATGGGACGCCGCCGCCGCCGGAGAATACTATGTGCGCGCGCGCACACAAACGCATACGCACAATGGACCGTGCTCGGTGTGCGTGCGGGCGCGTTCTTTGGCGACGAGGGAGAGTGGCGGTGGCGTTCGACGACTACGACGGCATTCCACTATCGTAACCCACCCGCCCGAATACCCGACCATAGTGGTGCTCCGGCCCCGACCCCGACCGACTGCGGGCCGCGACACCGGCACGACGCAGCTCGCCGTACAGCAGGTGGATCCATACGCCGTGATCGAAATACCGTGTGTGTGTGCGCCTCCTCCCCACCGCAACGGTACGCAGGTTAGCGCGGTCCATTCACACTCCCGAGACGCTCCAACGCGTCGTCGCCGGCCGCGGACGTGTCGGTGGATCGGCGAGCGGGTTGTTCGTTTCAGCCGGGTGCGTGGTGGAGTGGGCGCCATGAACGATTTCCCCGAAGTGCGAGCACGCGCACCCGATTTTCACCATCTGAGCACCGTCAGAGCAAATAGATTGATGTGGCTCCAAAACGGTGTTTGGCACGCATAGGAATTTCCCCACGTCTCGGCGATATTGTTTACGCGCGTAAATCGATTGTTAGACTTCTTGGACTGTTGTTGTTCCGCCCGGACACAATATGCAAAATGCCTACAAATTTCAGGTTTTCTCTGAAGCCAAATTGGGTATTTGGTATAATTTTGTGGAACTTGAGAATGGGTCTAATTCGTTTGAGCATTACTTTTTCAAATAATTTCCCTAATACTGGCAGAAGGCTTATTGCCTGTATGAGGAGGGTTCATTTTTTGGTTTGTTGGGTTTGTGTATAAGGATGATTACAGATAATTTCCAGATTGACGGAANTCGTCATTTTACGATATTTCGTGTTGTCCCAGATCCCACCGGTTGTCTGCGGTATATATCATGACTATTACGAAAACAAAAATAGTTTATTTTATACCCAGTGAGTTCCACGACAGACAACGTGATACTATAAACTATTGTGTTCGATTTTGAATAAATAATAATAGATGTTAAATTTTATCTTAGCCTGAAGAATTAAATTCAATATTAATAGTATATTCTTCATATCAGATTTAACCCAAACAAGTGATCGAATACATATCACATTAATAATGTACGTGACACGTGTAAAATTATACAAACGTTATTAGAAGGAAATTTATGTTTGTTAAATTATTATTTTGTCTGATTATTTATACTTGCATATTGACATTTAGATAAACGGTCAATACCTATATTCATCATTAGTTTAACAAATTTATGTTACAATCTGAGTTTAAATTACAGATGGCAACATAAGACAAGATTAATTAATGTAGTAAAATCACACATCAGTATTTAATAGTTTAATAATATTATTACCAAAATAACTGGATACGTCATTATAATACATTTAACTATATTCTATAGTCTTTATACTTGTTTTACAGTAAATATTATGTTTAAAATGTTTAAATAATTATCATTAATCATTAGTCTACATAATATAAATTGTTATTATATAGTTACAGTAATAATATAAACAGGAATATCGCAAATTTTGTCATTTTAATTATCTAAGTTAAATACAATATTACTGTTACACTTTTATATCAGTTATTTTTTTAATAAAAGACTTGATAATGTTATTACAAAACATTATAAACTAATCAATTAAATTAACATTCTTGGTTATACTAATTAAAAATTGAATAATTATTATAGTTCTGATTTATATTTTATTACACTATTTGCCTTTGATTGGATTATTATACAATACACAACATTGTTATATTTTGATATTATTTTCAAAACAATAGTACATTTGTTGTTTTCTGTGAGCACAATAATTTAAATCAATCAAAATAAACATTGATGCTTGGTTACTTAGTAGCAAAGTATATGACTGATATAACAGTATATCTTATATCATTGTATTTGTATACGTGGGGTTTTTTTAGCTATTATATATCAATGATACCTAAAGAATCTCGAAAAAAACGAAAGAAGACATGTTTCTTTAATTTTAACTGGTAATTTTTTATAACGATTCCAAAAATTTTAAACATGCAGTTTTATAAATAGCAAAATCAATTTTTTTCTTAAATGGTAACAATTATATCTTGATAATCAAATCATAAATTTTGATTTAYTAGTTAATTAACCATGGTTCTCTAAAGTTTAGTGAATACTGAATGCTTTAATACTTTGAATTGAAATAATTTTTATAAATTTAATTTACAAGACTTAAATATTATTTTTCTTTTTACTATCTTTGTATACACTTCAATCAGTAATCTAATAGCACGCTCCAAAAAAATGTATGGGGTAAATACTTACAAAATTGTTGGCAAATGCCAAATATAAAGTTAATTATTTTTCTTTTAACATACAACTATCAAAATCAGAAATATTATTGTGTATTATTATTATTATCGTAATTAATCAATTACTGTACATTTTTACATCATAGTTATTTTTCTTAGGTTTTTTGGAACGTGCCATTAGATTACTGATTGAAGTGTATGAAAAGATGGTATATTTCTTTTTTTTAAATTCCCTATCATCGATCCATAATCATTAAAAAAACCGTGTGTACAATGACATAAGATACACCAAGTATAAGAGATGCCACTTATATTTATGTTTAGAGGTCATGGTTCTCCTCTAGCCCTATAGTCAAAGGTTTTGCCTAGTATTTAAGCTATAGCTAAATCCCATAAGTTTAAGCTAAAGAATGCATATAAATACATATTCTAACACATTTTAGCCACGGTACCTACAATTTCATAAACGGATGATTCAATTTTAAAAAATTGCTTTTATGCGGACGCTTACATGATGCTCACCCTCTCTGTTTTTTATATTCACACTTACACAACTATTGTAATAAATAGATATAGTCTAAACTATTGTCTATTACTAAAAAGACAAAACTCATAAAACAACAGAAATTTTACTACAATAATAGGTGCAAGTATACAAGTCGTATTCATACATTTTGTGTTTTTATAGTGGATATTGAAAGAATAATTTATTAGGTGAGATCCTATAGAAATTATTAGAATGTAATTGTCTAATTCCATAAAATTATTTATTAATTCTGTTTAGTTAGGTCCGATCATTAACATTAGTTAAAGTTCTATAAAAAAGTAAAATATTGTTACGGTAATATATAGTCCACAGATGGAGGTGTAAGGGAGTTATGGTCCATCGAATCTGTTTGCTATTCACTATATTTAAACTTTTTTGATTAATTAATTTTAAACTAATCAAAAACTAAATATAAGAGATAGAGAATGTTGGTAGCACAATAGAATTGAAAACTGAAGTAAATATGAAATTTGATATGCTTACAACATAACATTTCTCAAATTTCAAGTTGCGCTAATATATGACCAATAATATATAGGTATTATACAAATATACAATTTTATTTTTATAAAATGTAATATTAAGCTTTATAAATTTATAATACTGGATCAAATTTCATAGTACCTACATTAGGCATAAATTATAAACGGAAAATAATTGTGGGCACTGTGTTGAAATATTGGATTTTGTACACGTCAACCGGTGAGTTGAGTAACTTTCAAAATTGGCTTGTAACGCGACGTACCTAAAATAATTTTAAAACAATACATTCAGTTAACGAGTATCCTAGTTATACGATGCAAATAAAATAAATAAAATAATGGTGCTGATTGATTATAAGTTGGTCAACTTTTACACATTTAAAACAGTATTTATGAATCAATTATTTTTTTTAAATATGGGTCGCTAAAATTAAATAATAATTAAAGTCGGTCGCGAGTTCAATATGTTGTTRTTGACTGTTCTAGATCTAGTATCTAGAATTCTAGACGATAGCTAATTATGAAATCACATCTTTATTTATTAACATAACATATAGTATCACATAGGTGATAGGTATAGGTACTTACTACTTACAATGAAACAGCTAATAATATATGTATTATACTAGGTACAATAATTCAATGTATTATGTATATATATATATATATATAATATACATATAAATAATCATGTAGATGTATACCTACATGTATTATGCATGATGTTTTGTATTTAGTCTAGTGTCGTAAGCGAATATTAAACAAATGCTTACAAAAACATAAATACTACAATACATCAAAAATATATATTATTATACATTAATATTGAACATTTGAACGCCGTTGTATTGTAAAAATTATTGAAATGGGTAAAAAAAACGTGTGAAAATAGTTGAGATATAAATCTTGA